TTAGACCGTTTGATTGGACAGTTGGTAGTAACTAATGGCATACATCTAGTCCTTTGTTTAGTGCAAGCTGAATTCGATCAGTCAAGTTTGTAATGCGGTCACCATGCTAGATGACTCAAGACAAATGTGCATTGTATCAAATTCATATTCGATCTTCTTCTAGACAACAACTAGATTCACATAGATTCACAGCAATCCACTAGCCACAAATCTGTTTTATTATGTGTGTCATGAAAATTCAAAGCAGCAGGCCAATAGTTTTGTTAGACCACTTGAAATTCAACTTCATTCGTACAATCTCATACAACCTGAATGAATTCAGTAGTCACTTAGCATAACTGATATACTTCGCGTCATATTCACTGCATATAATGCTTGATTAATCAAATTAACCGATCTGTTCTGACTAATTTATTATTGGAGAAGTTTGCACGTCTGAAGACCAGTGGAATTCCAGTCTCAGGAAGCTATTAGAATTATGGCTTGCTTGTGATAATCATTGTTTATGCAAAGAATTGAATAATTGCTTAGATTATTCACCTTGTAATTAATAATTCCTAATAATGAATATGTTGCCTGAGTTTGCAAGGATATTTCGTGAATACTATCACCTCTAGTGTGTTCCATTCCATTTCAATCTCTCAGCCTCCTCAATTAGACAATTATTATACATGCTGGTGACAACTGATGGACACGTGTACGTCTGTGTTTTTAACCTCCGCTGGATTAATGATTTTTTGTAGAAGCTAGTCCAAACACCCTATCTTGTCTTCACTTCATTTGAAAATTCAACAATGCTGAGTTGTTTTTCTTAAAAAATAAAATATAATGCTCATCCTGTATTCCACTGCCAGTCACCGTCCATCAAATCACTTCAGACATCACCAGAGCACCCTCACAAGGAGCTGACTGACATGTCAACACAGAGAGTTCGACCACTTCGATCCAATCAATCAACAGGGAAAGTCCCAGGTGAACATTAAATGTAAATCTAGTCCACTCCTCCCATGCGACTCACCTGAGGCGTAAAGCAGTAAGTGTTCATTGTCTTGATTTCACAACACAGACCTACCACCACCCACCATACCTAAAAACGTAGTTTATGTGAACAGTAGTCAAAACATGACAATGCATTGATTTCAAATGTCCAGCAGTTTCCATACAACGAAAGAAAGTCAGACGCATCTCGTGTAGAATAGGAATTACAGTGGATTTCAAGTCAGCCGACTGGTCATGCAAAAATTAAATAAAATAACACCCCATAGCCTTATGATTCCCCACCTTTCTGATTCCCCCGTATCATCATAAAATTCTAGACATATCTAATCACAGTTTAAAAGCCAAAAAGCACCTGGAGACAGAAAAGGTCTAACACTGTGTATTTTATTTTCTAATAAAGTCTTAATGATTTCATCAAAGTGTGTATTAATTAATGTGCAACATTAATGACTTTTAATATTCGTCTGACTGACCGGTTTCAATGTAGAACTACTTTGCACAGATGTGCACCAGCACTTCGAGTTGCCACACACTCCCTCCATGCAGCACACAAAGCAAGAGAAAAGATTAAACAGAGATTTGACACACGCACACACACACACCCAGATAACAAACAGAAGTGTGAGGCAACAATAAGAGTAATATGGAAGAATAATAGACTTGCATTGCACATGATAAATCACAAAGAGTGAATGCATCTGCACCAGCCAGCCATCATCGAGGACGATTTTGAGCCATATCAACACCGATTGTCTCCAGCCTTCATTGATTTTTACCATCCCGAAGACCGCAACCACGAAGTCTACACATGCCTTTAACTAACTGTTGTGGATTTCGTCGGCTGATGAAGCAGTGTCATGGTTTGACCACCATTAGCTAACTCTTTCCCAGCCTGATCCTACCTGTGTCAGCTAACATTGGTCATCGATTGAGGAAGGCGATGTCTAGGCATGCATGAGTAACACATGTCATGACCACCTCAATCGATGTAACTGCTTCACAACCTCGTCGATTGATTTCCCCCTCCTTATCTAGCACACGACGCCTGACTTCAATATTGCTTACCCTACTACACCAGTTGACACACCAGTAAGAATGCAGGCATTTTCATATCTCTCACTTTCAATGGCCATGTCTCACAGACATGAAGGAAGACAGAGAGAACTGCTGAGCAGTGAGAGATACTATGTCAAGAAAATACAGAATCTTATCTAGTCTATAATAAACCATATTGATGGAATGTCTGAACTAGATCTCAAAGCAACTCAGGTTTTTAAGAGTGCAGTTCATACGTGTGTGCACGTGTCTATATGATGACTAGTGAGAGAAAAAAGACAACACTGTTGATAAACTTCAACAAGATACCTTGATATATACTGAAGAAGGGTGAAACGAACACTGAGTATTCTCAATGCCACGTGTCAGTCAAATGATAAACAAACCGTTAACTCACAGAAGTCCTGAGGGTGAAGAGAGGAAGAAGTAAGACAAGGCTGCCTGCTATCATCGACGATGACACCCTCGATTGTGGTGGACTGGATTACGTGACAGACTGTGCTTGAGGAGTGAGAAGACAGGAATACGTTGGACTAATAAGAAGATCCTAGAAGCTATGGACTACGAGAACGATTTATGTGTGCTATAATATCACACAAACTCGAAGACTCACAGGTATAAGCCACCGAGTTAGAAGAAAAGGACGTCAACAGAGACTGGAAGTCAAGTGAACATGGAGGTGATGAAGATGCCCGACAACCGACAACAACAACAACAACGGCAATAACAAGCAGTCATCACTATCAACGCAGGGAGTGTGAACGGGACAACTTCCTCATTTATGTAGTCACCGTCGTTTCGACTACAGACATACACCACAAATGAGAACGTTAAAACCAGAGTCGAAAAGACGAGACAGACATCCATCACTCTTAAATCAGTTTGCAAATCTTCTACACTCCACAGCATACACAACAACAATTGCAATTTTAACGACACTATTAAGTCAGTCAGTTCTTCTATATCGGTCAAACACTCGGTGTGTGCGTCACGAAAAGCATTTCCACCAGCCTGCTGCAGACATCTATCAACAGGTGTCTTCACCAGCTCCTCACGCAGGATCACATGGCCAGTGTGAAGCATAAGCGAGAAAAAATTCCGGGCACGAACCAACCAAGAACCTATTGCACAACCGACAAATATTCCGAAGGAGATGGGTCGCACACACACACTGAGGAGACCGTCGAATGAAAGCGCACGCCACACCACCGTTCTTGTGGAATTCGACGAATGGGAAACGACAAGCTGCGCTTACGTCTGATGGTCACATGGAGGAGATCGTGTGCAGAGGAGATGTGACACTATGGGGAATCGTGATTCCAGCTGATGATGAGAACTGAATAGAAGAGGATGGAATGCAAATGTTCAATTGGAGCCCTCTATTTTCCACTTGGAATCCAAGGGAATAATAATATAAAAATAATTTATTCCTATTTAGCTTCATCGCAAATTGTTTCCATTCAGTTTTCCACCCTATTATTAGTAACGACATAATGTGTGATGAACAAAGTTCACTTTAACAAGTAGACTGGTGTGAAACAGAAATCCACAGACTCTCAGTAACCATCCAAGGGAGCTTCTGTTCCACTCGTTGACTCTATCTATTATAAACCAAGTTTCCGCTTAAGTTTCAATCAAAAGCCATTACATCTGAAGTGATTTCAGCTAGTTTTACCAACAACCGGTAGTAGCAGTAGCAGTAGTAGTAGTGTGGCGTGTGCTACTGACAGGCCTTATCGGTAGTACATTAAGAAACGTCCATCGGCACAAAATTATGAAATAGCCGAGAGACAGATTTGGCATCAAAAAGAGAGAAAATGAACCAGTACTGAGCCAATGCATGGAAGACTCGAACAGAAGACCGAAAACGACACGAAAGAGGCAGTAATAGCACAACACTGAACACCTGTACAGCAAATGATGATTTTCATATAACGTGGTGTACATAGTTCCCCTATGTGTGTATATATAATTCCTAATAAACACACCGTTACCAAGTCTCTTGCCTTCCACCGTTACATTTGGTTTCGCTTCCTGCTGCTTTCCAAGAAGCAAGTATAAGGAGCTTCTTGCGGCTCTCCAGTGCAGTCACCGTGTTGGTAGGCATCACCATCTGACAACGAAGGTCGTTGTGCTGAGGTCGGGTGAAGGCGGTTTGAGGCACTGTCGAGTCGCCAGGTGATAAAGAAACCTGGAAGGTATTGGCTGAAAGACTGTTGGCGGAGTTCGACGAACAGACAGCTGGCAATGCAGCACTTCCATGACGCCAAGCTGGGACTCAACTGAGACCCATTCATCTTGACGGTGAATTTGGGGAATCTATTACTTCGCGCACTCCCCATATTGGTTAAAGACACTGTCTCAGTTATTGACTTACAAATTCACCCAGAGTCTTCCAAACTAATAATGATAACATAGATAAGAAAGAATATTAGGAATCTGTAGTTGTACCATGTTAGGAGGAGACATCTGACACCTTACGTAGGATTCCTAATAAAGCGGGGATTAGGGTGGCATTTAAATCCACAGACTCACTCAGATACGCCAAGCTCTGTAGGTTGAAGGACTCTGCAAATTGACCTAACCACACAAAATAATGTAATTTGCAAAATACCTTGCAATGACTGTGGAAAGGGCAACTACATAGATCGTCGCTAGAAAGATGTACAGACTTGCTAAGTACCAGACAAGCATTCTGAATCTATGCTGAGATTTCCTAGGTGATCACTTCACGTGAGCTGATGCAAGTCTCCAAATTAAGTGAAATATTCAACATACTTAGTTATTCCGCCTCCTAGCAAAAGAATCACAACAAGTACTGCATAAAATTGCGCATTTAGCAGCATAACAATCAAAAAATCAACAATTGAGTATGAGAAAATATATATTGAAAAATGCTGAGTGCATAAGATACAACAAAGATGTTTGTATTCCCAACCAGCATACACACAAGTGTCAGCGCCTCCTTTTGCGTGAACTGCCAACACCTACAGCGGGAGTGACTGCTGATTTACTCGGTGTTTGAACCACATCATCTGAAGTTGTAAGAATGTTAGCCCAGCGTACCGACTTTCTTATTCGTTTTCGATTAGAAGTATCTAAATGGAAAAATCATAGATGAAGTATGATTTCACACGAAAATAATTTGCATGCATCAACAGAGTATAGAAGATGCCTCAAATTACAATGGGTTTTCGTCTCATGGGTATATCTAGTAAAAATAAACAATCGATTGTGAAGTAAACCTAAGTTGTCAGACTGAAGTCTTCTGCTGCACCTTGCACATTATTGGAAGTGGAGACCTTTCGCCTGAATCTGCATCATAGGTTTGTGACTTTAATGAGACGATATTTCATGCTGACATGACCTCAAGATCCATCAAACTGTGATCCTCCTCAAAACATCCAACTACGGACATTAGTGGGTCATACTTTTAGTTGCAATTCACACCCACTTAAGCTTAAATAACCACACACACACACACACAAACACACCAGGAATGCATCTCACGACCGCTTTGTCGGATATACTATCAATTACATAGGAGAGACGACATCGACTACTTTCCAAGCAAATGCAAAAACATCACAATATTCATTAGAAGTGTCTCTCTCCAGTATTCATGATCAGTCCCTTAACTGATTTCATAGAAAGATCTAAATGCTGTTGTGACTTATGCGAAGTCTTGCAAATATTCCAATAAAAACTGTCTCCTAGTCTACGAAATTCACCCAAGAGAATGATAACTCACATTCTCGAAAATTCCCATCTTCCTACTTTATATATATACGTATATATCGCCTTAAGAATAGCTGGCGTTTTGTCACATAAATACCAGAAATATGACTGGAGTGTTAGTTGTAATATAGGGCTGATACCTTACCTAAAATTGAAGATTTCCGTGTAGCTGTATCGCTTCGGTGAATAACACGGGGAAACGGCAATTCCTTCAATGAATCAAACTCCTCCGGTAGACTAAATTCTTGCATTTTACCTTGAAAAGGGTTCCCTTCAGATTCATGCTTCACAGAAACGTTCCAATATTTTAAGAAATAGAAATTACCAGTTCTTCCATATTGAAAAGTGTATCCAGTTTCTTCCAAATGTCATCAGGAGTTACTGGTTCACGAAGAACTGAATTCAGATGATTGCACAAACACATCATTTTGAAGTGGCGAAATACCCCAACGGGTTTGTGCTTAATTAATCCTCGGAAAAGTTCAATTTCCGATTCACAGGTCCATTCATATGAATCGGTCCTGTCAGTAGCCATGTGTATTCAATTCTAGGGCACTGAAAATCCAATAATCAAAATTAAAAGTATTAGAAGTAGGCGAATCGCAAGAGGCTTATATAAGAAATACTACAGAAATATTTCTCTCTTGGCTGACCAGCTTATCAGGAAGAACACGAGTGAAGCAATGAGACCAAAAATACTAATCGCAATACCCACAGAAACGATGTGTGATTTTACTAAATGAAGCAAGTTGATAGTCACAGAACTGCAAGGTGACTTCATGTCAGTAAAACGTTTGAGTATTGTGGATCAAATAATTATTATATTATTATTATATTTCAATGGTTTACACACAATGATGAGTTTTGTTATCGCTAATATTTTGAGCAAAATTACTGCCCGTCTTCACAACACTGTTGGAATTGTTTTGGTTTTTTATTCACACATTTATGATTTGTACTCACATATATAGTTCTTTTATTTTGTTCATTCATTTTTGTGAATTCAGAATTGTATTCCAGGTTGTTGACAGTTGTACTGAGTCACCCTTGTTACATGTATCCGGTGTGACCTTAATCAATTTGATTGTGTTATAAGTCTCTCTTTCCATTTGTTCATATTACTTTTTTAGAATACAAACATTGTTCCAATCGATATTGTGGTTTTTGTCCCATTCATGTGCAGCACAACGTTTAAACCGATGAATCTAATTGCAAATAAAATAAATCAACTGAAAGATCCCATAAAAATGATGGATAAAAAATTGTGATCCACAAAATATCTTGTGCCGAGTGTCGGACTAAATGTGTGGGTCAACCGTCCAGATTACTCAAAATAAGAGTGTATGAACATAAACGCCTAACTAAAGGTCAACTAACACGAACGTTGTGCTGCAAATGAATGGGACAAAACCACAATATCGATTGGAACAATGTTTGTATTCTAAAAACTAATATGAACAAATGGAAAGAGAGACTTATAACACAATCTAATTGTGTATATGTAAGTTCAAATGTTCCTATGAAGCTGACTACCTCAAATGTACAATAAAGAGTCTCCAAACCCTGCAAACATCACCATTCTACATGGTTAAGCATCAGAGTGAAAACAACACTTGGAAGCCCCATACACACCGACCTGCAGTGTTTATTTATCTGCAGACAGCAGGAGCAAGCTAGGCCATACAGTTGAAAATTCGCCTACATATCCAAAATAATAATTTCTTTTCCATTGACAATATAAAAAAATATCACTTTCAAAGAACAAGATCGTGCATAGATAGCCTCAACCATTTAGCTAGAACCTAGTGACCAGGATTCTTTCATGAGCTACACGACGTGTGCGAACTATTGGCACTACTCAGTCTCCCAGAATGAAGTGCACCGGCACTCGAGGCCAGAAGCTAATGACTGAAAGTAAACTGCTGACGTCAATGAGCTTCATTTTCATCTTTATATACCCGCAAGCTTTAAGTGGCCTAAAGGTCAAATAGTGTACCGTTCTGACGATCATTGTCTCACGAATTTTTTGCTCTCAATGTCACCAAAAGAAAAGTCGGTTAAATAGGGAATTGAGGACTGGACACCTGATTAAATTGGCCTTGAAAAGTGATCTGCCAGTGATTTCACAGCTGGTTAATCATCTCCATCAAAAAATGATAGATTTCGGCTTGATAGAAGACAAGAGGCATTCAAAAGATGCCATGGATGCTCAATCGTCGGATGATGAAACGTTACAATTAAAATTAGACTTCGAAGATGCCTATCATTTATGGACAGCGAGGCGAACCAAAAGCTCTTCTGAAAGATGTCACAATCTCCATAGAAATCACCTACATAGTAAATGGGAGGAGAAAATAAAACTGTGTAATAATTTAGAAATTCCAGCAGTTAATAATAAAGCAGCCTGTAAGAAACTATTGAATAAATTGAAGTATGATGAAAGCCACAATCCTAAATCGTCCTCTTAGCCTGCATCCCTATTCATCTATTATGCACCACCGGGCTTTATCACCAACAGACCAGATTACCAGCATCAGGATGGGAATGTCCTTAATACTCGTATTCATGTTAATTGCCGAAGGAAAAACGATGAAAGACCACAGCAAACGGAACCCACTCTTCCTCTTATCAGCTGTTGTATCCCATGTAATAGATAGACGCACCTAATAATAGATTGATGGCCTATCAATACATGAAACATATCGAAGAACTAGTTCCTCATAATTATCATAGTGGTGAATAACATGTATAAATACTCATCTCACCACTATTCTCCATTCCTTTATGTATATTGCTGTTGGTTAGTCTTGTCTGTTGTCATCTTTTCTTCTCAGGTTATTATGCTATCCTGGACTGCTAGTTTTTGAGAGAACAATTAATAAAGACAGATTTCTCTGTGTGCTAAACAAACATGAAATAAAACGGACAAAACAAATACAAACAAGTATACATGTAGAAGGGTATTCAGTCCACATAAATCAGTATACACATAGAATGCAGTCATTTGAAAAGCTATAATTGTACCAAAATACTCAAATGTATATAGACGTACAGAATGGTAGAGAAGAAATAGTTCGTTTCCTGGGTACACAGAAGCTCACTACACGTAAGAGATGCGAAGGGCCGGAGAGCACGTGCGGAGAGAAACGTAGATGATAGCGATTTACTGATCAGCAACGAGGCAGAACTGTTTGACAGATACGAAAGGTGATAGGCTGCAGTGGCAGCAATTGTCGTCTGTATTTTGCGCGGAACTATGCACTGTCCTTGTCCAATATAGCTAAACAACCATGAATTTACGTGAATTCACTCTTCTCACTGTTTCATAGTGAACTTAAAATTCGATATTTTCCGATCACCGTACTCCTCCTTCTCTTAGAATTTTCGAGAGACTAGCGGAACTGTTGTTTTCTCTGCTACTGACGATGAGAAGTACAATTGTGATAATAAAATTCATTATAATGATACATAGCACTATGAGAATACAGAGTAAGAAGGGGTTCAACGCTTTTGTGATTAGTTTGACACAAACTTCTGAACTGGAAGTGGATGATAATTCAATGAATATATATATATATAAATATTACAGAGAGTGAACACACACACAGAAAAAATATTTGTATAAATAAACACAGATTTGTATACGTCAGCTCTGTAGATAACACATATCCAATATCCTGATTACGAGCTAGTATAAACCAGTGATTTCTTTGAGCTCGCTTCTTGGTTGTAAGGTACAGGTTCCAGAACTTATGCTCAGTAAATCCCGCCACTCGACTGCTTTAGCTCTGGTAGACTCCAAGAAGAGTGGTGCGAGGATTGGTCAAGATTGTGGTTTGTAGTGTGCAGTATGTTAGGACTCAGCTGCTGCCGTGAATGGAGTTTGAAATAACACCCGTTGGTCATTTGGTGTAGTCATAAAAGTAGAATAATAATAATAGGTTGTAGTGTAGACAATATAGGTTGAGATAAGTGAAATAATAAAGGTGAAATAATAAAGAAAGAAAGAAAAGATAGAGTAGTCGGTACAGTGGGAGAAGACAGGACGGGTCGTGGGGATTTAGCTTGTATGCTTATCCATTGACAATGTGGTTTCAAATTTTAAGAGGGTAAGCCATCGAGACACAAACCATGCATTTCTGCATGATTGTCCAGCTTCCGCTTAAAAGTCTCCACAGATGGCGCTGTAGTTACGGCCGCCGGTAAAGCGTTCCAGAGACGGCAAACTCGAAGCGAGAAGAAATGTGAACGCACTCGAGTCTTTGGTCTCTGGTGTGCTATCCTTAGCGGGTTATCTCGTGGAAGCCCATAATCACTTAATGGCAGGATGCTCTTATTAGGGTGGGCCTGGTCATTTAAGATCTTATAGACGGTGATGAGGTCTCCCCTGTGACTACGGTAACTAAGTGTGAAAAGACTTAATTTCTTCGGTCTTTCCTCATATGATTTGTTGCGGAGGCCGATCACCCATTTTGTCGCTCGTCTCTGGACACTTTCTAGCATGTTAGCATCCCTTTTGAGTAGCGGAGAAGCAATGATATTATGCACCTCAAGGAGTGGCCTCACGTATGTCGTATACAACGTTAAGAATAGTTCAGGAGTAAGAACTCCCAGCTGCCTATGCATAAAGTGTAAAGTAGCTAAGCTTGGCGACGTCCCTCGTGTAATTTACACTGGTGTCTGGCTCTTCCGTTAAAATAAGACCTAGATCGCGCTCTGATGGCACACAACTCAAGTTCTGGCCACCAAGGGTGTACTCTGTGACGTGCCGGAATGAAGTTGCACTACTTTGCACTTCTTTAGGTTGACAGGCATTCCGTTAGCCAGAGCCCAGTCTCCCAGAGTTTGTAGGTCAGCCTGCAATCTGTTGGAGTCTTCCGATGAGTTTATTGCTCTCCAAATCTTTACGTCATCAGCGTAAAGAAGTGCAGAGCAATTCAGTTGACAGGGCAGGTCGTTGATAAAAATCAAAAACACCAACGGCCCTAAGATAGAACCCTGAGGAACCCCTGATTCCGAGGTGTGCCAGGATGATCGGAAGTGGTTGACTTTGGTGCAGAATTCTCTTTCGCCTAAATAATCTTCCAGCCATGCGAGAAGTGCTCCAGAAACACCCGCTTTGCTTATTTTGTGAGGGAGCAGATCATGGTGAACTGTGTCGAATGCTTTCGCGAATTCGAGAAAGATCACATGGACTGGTGCCTTTACGTCCCAGGATAGTGTCCAATCGTTCCAAGCTAGTAGAAGATTCGTCAAACAGGATCTTCCTCTCCTGAAACCGTGCTGTGCTTCATGGAGTAGGTTAGTCCCGTCGAAGTATTTTCTCATGTGGTCGTCAATGAGACTTTCCAATATCTTCGATATCACTGGGAGTAGCGCAACTGGTCTGTAACTGGTCGCGTTCTGCCGGTCACCACCCTTGAAGATAGGGGATAGGATGGCTCGTTTCCATTCACATGGAAGTTTCCCTACATCAAAGGAGTGTTGAAACAGATCACTTAGGGGTTGGCAGAGACTTTCTGAACACTGCTTCAGGTCGGATGGTCTTATGTCATCGCAACCGGCAGACTTTCCCGAAGACAACTTTCCCAATTTTACGAGTACCATAGCCGGGGTAATTTGAAATGTACCCAGCAGGTTTTCGCACGTTGGTCTTGCACTGTAATCTTGATGTTTTGTGGGGGTAAAATCCTCATTACTGTTCAGTTGCCTGTGAAAGGCTAGACTGAATGTCTCTGCCATTTCAAGACTAGTCAGAGATTTCCCATCAGGACCCACTAGATTGCAAGCTCCCTGGTTGGTCGGTTTTCTTTCAGACATAAACCTGTATAGGCTTTTGGGGTTAACGAGAAGCTTATTGGCGAGGTTTCTCTGAAATGTCCTTCTATCACTCCGGACTCGTATGTTACATCGATTCCTGAGTTCGAGGTACACTTCATGTTCGGGTTGACTCTTCGATAGTCGCCACGCAAACCAGGCTTTTCGCTTCGCCTGTAGAAGGCGTTGTGTCCCCCTTTTTAGCCATGAACGTTGCTTTCTAGCTTTAGGTGTGACTAAAGGAACAGTGTCTGAGACCGCCTGGTGAATGATCTCCTTTACCACTCCCCAGTGTTCTTCCACTGTAAGCTCTGTCCAATATTTTGGCCAATTTGCTTCAGACAAAAGTCTTCGCACTTCGGTGTAATTGGCTTTGTTATAACACAGATAGGGCTGTGTATTGTCCCACTGTAAACGCTCGCGGAGGACTATGTCGAATGTTATGACCGCTTGGTCACTACTAACTATGGGAGTCGTGATCTGAACGTTTTCCACTAGTAGCTGGTCACTAGTGAAAATTCTCTGGCGGTACGTTCGAAATTGGTGACATTTTTGCACGTGTTTGCTCTGATATTCATCTACTGCTTATAGTCATATAATCCCTGAAATTATGGTCCAAATTTCTAAAAAACGTGTTCGTAGAAACACAGTTGTTTTAGATAGTGCCTCAACCTCGGTTATAACTGCATTACCACACTGTAATACAGCATTAACTACTAGCTCACAAAATGGCTTGAGTGCAATTCTCACTCCTGTGATGCAGATGAAAGATGTTCTGTTAGAGAACTCTGAGATCCGTAAATTAGACCTCCTTGTGAAAGATATCCAAAGTCAAGTAAATGAACTTCAGAAAAAATTAGGTCAGTTTGATAGAATGTCACTGCCAATGTCAAATATCACGGAGAGCAGTTCTGATATTGGCCAGGTTAAGTCTTTGCTGGATGTCACTCAAAGCAAGCTTTCGGATTTAGACCCAATAGCCTGTCTGTTAAGAAAGCATCCTAAAATGTCTCCAGACACCCTAAATAAGGCTGAAAATCTGATTGACTGCTTGGCTGCGGAGGTGATGAAGCGTATAACCTCTTCTCACCAGGCTATAGTTTACAATGTCCCAGATTCTCTTCCTCTGAAGACTGTAAAACACAAAATCCTGATTTGTTGCGGCATGGCCAATGTTCCATGTGAATGCAAAAGACTTCGTAAAAAGTCTAACCAGGCTAACTGTCCCATTATTTTTAAGTTCAGTAATTCCCTTGATTCTAGTAAGTTTATTAAATGCCAGGATCACCTAAGACTGAACAGTAGTTATAAGTCTATAACCATAGCTCAGGATAAAACACCTTGTCAGCGCAGAATAATGCGTAGTAATAACCTGGCCACCTCCTCTAGCTTAGAATTACCCAAAAACGATCGTGCACAGCAACAGTCACCTAATGCTGACATTAGCATTCAGCAAACCACACAACAACCACGCATGGCAATGGAACTAGGGACTGATTTAGATACCAGTACCCCTGTAAATGACGTCTCACCGAAAGATGTTAAAATAGGTAGAACTGCTGCAAGCTGTTCTAAGAAATTCTTACCGAAACGTGGTGACCTCACCACAATGAACAAATTTCGCCGGGTTGAGACTAATGATGGGGAAGAATACTTTGTATTCAATAAGCTTGCTGAGAGTAAGACTGTGAAA